GGTACTCGCCTGGTGCGTACCTGGTACTCGCCTGGTGCGTACCTGGTGCGTACCTTGTACTTTCCTGGTACTCGTCCTGGTGCGTACCTGGTACTCGTCCTGGTGCGTACCTGGTACTCGCCTGGTGCGTGCCTGGTACTCGCCTGGTGCGTGCCTGGTACTCGCCTGGTGCGTGCCTGGTACTCGCCTGGTGCGTGCCTGGTGCGTGCCTGGTACTCGCCTGGTACGTACCTGGTACTTGTCCTGGTACGTACCTGATACGTTCCTGTTACTTTTTTGGTGCGTACCTTGTACTTTCCTGGTACTCGTTCTGGTGCATACCTGGTACTCGCCTGGTGCGTGCCTGGTACTTGTCCTGGTGCGTACCTGGTACTCGCCTGGTGCGTGCCTGGTACTTGTCCTGGTGCGTGCCTGGTACTTGTCCTGGTGCGTACCTGGTACTCGCCTGGTGCGTACCTGGTACTTGTCCTGGTGCGTACCTGGTACTCGCCCGGTGTGTGCCTGGTACTCGTCCTGGTACGTACCTGGTACTTTCCAGGTGCGTGCCAGGTACATCCAAGGCCCGGACTGCCTGAGGAAGGGACTGGTTTTCTTGTACTTCCAGGCTACGTACCTGAATTTTACTGGGTTCTTACCGGATGTGCACGTATGGATACGTTGCTGGTTTGTCCCTAATTACTTACCAAGTGTATTCGAGGACCAGGCTGCATCAGGAAGTGACTTGTTACCCTGTACCTACAGGCTATGCACCTGGTACTTACTGGATACAAACCAGGTACTTACTGGTACATACCTGATAGAAACCAGGTACATACTGAACTGGAACCAGGCTGCACTATGAAGTAAATTATTATCCAGTACAAGATGTAGAAATAGATTTTATTTAAAATACATAAAATTATTTTTATTGAACCAAAAGTTTCTGACGTGAGAAGCTCCAGGTAAAAACCAGTGATAGTTTGAACAGTTCATATTAGGGGAAAAAAACAACGTTTTGTGTTTGTTGTTGTTTTTGTGTTTGTTTGTATGGGATAAAGTTCAAACTGAACTTATAACATGCTTAAATAAATTATTGTTCTGTGTTTTAAACCATCCTCAGACACCTGCACGTGTTTGCTCTTTGGAAAGAAACTAATATTTACCTCGTGCTCGTCGACGCTCCGCCGTGTGAAGGTGCAGCCGCGGGGAAACGCGTCACGTTTATTGCTCCCTGCTTATCACCGTTCCCGTCGCCTCTGATTGGTTCACCGCTCACCTCGCTCGGAGCTTTAATTATCTACAGAGCTGTAAAATCCTCTTTTTTTTCAGGTCATTGAAGTTAGAAACAAACAAATGGAGCGCCGTGAAAGAGATGACGGGTTGAATCCCTGCAGGAAATCCGTTGCTTCAGAACGTTTCTCTGGTAATAATCTCGCCTTTTATTTCTCCAGGGTGAAGACTGCAGCAAAATGGACGGCTTTTACGACCAGCAGGTCCCCTTTGTGGTGCCCGAGAGCGTAAGTTTCTTGATTTGACACTTTAATCCCACATAATTATTGCTTTCTGCACAAGAGGACATAAAAAGAATGAAGTCTGAGTCGTGTTGTGGTTCCTGCTGCCGTAGAGCCGTCACCCAGAGGAGGAGCGGTGCCTCAACGACAGGCGGAGGACGTTCTACGACACCGAGCTGGCCCAGGACACCGAAGGTACAACAAGACGAACAAAAACCAGAGGAGTCCGCTAAAAAAAAACAGCTCGAAAGAGCCGAAAATTAGCTGTTAAAGCTAAAGAAGCTAAACATCAGCTCACAGCTAACTAATAAAGAACACTGTAGCTTCATTTTAAGTTTGGATAAGGACTAAAATTAGCAAAAGGCTAACTAATTGCTAAAAGTAACAACAGACTAGCTAATTGCTGAAAGTTACAGGCTAGCTAATTGCCAAAAGTAGCAAAAGGCTAACTAATTGCTAAAAGCAACAGGCTAGCTAATTGTTAAAAGTAGCAAAAGGCTAATTGCTAAAAGCAAC